CCCCCACCCCCACCCCGTCCTATTAGAGCAAACCTTAAGAGCAGATGTTGCTATCAACTTCTTTGATTTCATGAGAGTTGTTCAGATATGAAAACAGTCCTGATAATGTGGGAAACAAAGGCAAAAGAAACTTTAAATTTCATTATTACTTACAGCCCATTTACAAATCCTTGAAACAGGCAGAGCGACATACCTCTAGGAACTCAGCTGCCTTGTTGTTAATATTTTGCTAAGGGCAAAAGGCAATCTTAGCCCAACACCCATGATCCTCTAAGTCTACTTTAACATATAAAAATTCCTTTGGAAACGTCCTTTATCTCTGTCCCCCAAGAAAATATGTTGGCCATCATCCCCAAGCATATGACCCACCATTATACATCTGAAGGGTCTCATGACTAAGGTTTTACTGGACAGTAATAAATGATAGCTAGCCACCTCAAGGTCCTGGAAACCTTGCTTCCAAAATTCCTTAGAGACTTACGCTGTTCTTAACCCCCTCCCAACTTGAATGTAAATAATCAGCTACGCCTCATGACCCCAGTGCAGCAATTTCTACCCATGGGTCCTGTCCCTGTGTTTTAATAAAACCACCTTTTTGCACCAAAGAAGTCTCAAGAATTCTTTCTTGGCCATTAGCTTCGACCCTAACATCTTTCCTACATCACTAAGATTGGCATATACTGCATACTAACATTATATCAATTAAAATGTGGTTAGAAACTAGAGAAAAGATTACCTGAATTTCTCAGTCATCCCTAGGTAGGGATGTGTGTGTGTGTATGTATGTATGTTATACATACACCCACACATACAAAAAAAAAAAAAAATCCTATGCAATTAAAATTAAGATATATGCTTTTTCCAAAACATATAAAAAAATCAATCCCTAAATGTTCATATTTTGTTGAGTCAGAAATAAAGCACAATATACACTTGAACTCATCTGCTTTTTATTATTCCTTTCATTGTGACTGGCATTAGGAGAAAAAAAAAGGGAGATGAGTCCTGCAAGGAAATCTATAATAATGACTCCAAGGTCTCATTTCTATCATTATCTATTGTGTATAATTATCCACATTTTACTTATTTCATCTATTTAAATCTTATCAATTGTGTTAAACTGATTAAAATGGACTAATTAATTATGTTTTAGAAATTTGGGGGTATCATAGGATTAAGATATTTAATAAAACACATTTTTGTGATTAAAGTCTCAGAAGAATCCCTTAAGTGTTAAGTCCTACTTCCCAAACCCCTTGTAATACACAGTTCATTCTGAAGCAGGAGTAAATCACTGAAGTGAACATTTTCTTCATAATGTCACTACAAAATAGCATAAAAAGTATTCTAACTACATGCCATGAAATTAAAACAACAGACCATGACTGGTAGGAAATTATAGGTTTATCTTAGTTTTGTGAAGATTTAAAATAAAAAGTAACATTTATGGAGAAAGTAATGAATATTAAATCTTTCATACACCTACAATGATTAAAGAACTCTTTTCACTTATGCTAGCAACTCTGCAACATGGTGAGATCTTTGGTCGGTTTGAACAAAGAGACTGAGAGATGTTAATTAGTGTCAGGTCACACAGAATGGAAGTTTGAAAAGCAAATGGAGGAGAATCAGGTGGAAGTTGTTCAAGGAGTTTAAGATGTCCTGACACCAAAAACAGGGATCTGGTACTCCAAGACTTTGATACTCAAGTGTGGTCCACAGAGCAGCAGGAGCATACACAATCCTATCAAATTAAAATCTTTTTAAAGAAGATCCTTGGGTGACTCATATGCACATTTAAGTTTTGGAAACACTACCACTATGGGGAATTATTTTGCAACAACTTAATGCTAGTAAGATATCTATGACTGGAAGAAAACAACATAGTTTCAACATAGTTTCATGTATTTTTATGTAGCAATCACAATAAATCTTCTTTAGAATGGGTGTTCCTTAAGTGTTTTTTGTTGTTGTTTGTTTTTGTTTTTGTTTTTTTTTGCAACCTCAGCATCTAGTGTAATGCGTAGCTCATATGTGCCCAGTAAGAATGGGTGAGTGAATTATGTTAAAGCAAAAATAGAGCAGTCAAGTCAGTGACGCTACACTCTTTGTTAAAAACATTAAGATGGTTGGCTCAATGGGCAAGTATAAGAACTTTTAATAGGGACCCATGGAAAGCAGAGTTAATGAAAATAGGAAAAATATTTTTTGCTCAAACACATAATGGGAAAAAAAAAACCTGTCATCTGCTTATTTAGGAAGTAAGCACACAAAGGTTTTGGGCATCATATGCATAATGTGGTAATTTGATAATTTTAAAGGGCAAATGTGATACTGGAATGCAAAAATATTTTCATTATGCTAAGCCCTCTTATTGGCCCAATATCCTGGTCAAATTTTTCTAGAATTCCATGCTCTTTGCTCAGGACGAATCAAGAATGTGAAGTGGATTTATGATAAAAATCACTTGAAAAAATTAAAGAGACTGAGAGGATAGCCCAGAGAATGCTCACAGTATTTTAAAACATCTGTTCACCATAAAGCAGCAGTGCAGTTCTGAAAACCCAGATTCGGTCTAGTTTTGTAGGCAGTTTCCAGGAGACTGTCCTCAATTCCAACACCAGCTACAAGCTCTGAGGATCCCAGGCCACTTTGTTACCAACAGAGTACAAATTGGGCAGTCCCCACTATGCCCTCAGGGTCAGGTTCTAGGGGGCCAGAATAATTTACAGAACTCAGGGAAGTGCTATACTTTGTTATGAAGTTTCCGAATCAGGATAAGATATAAGAAGAACACCGGGGGGGGGGGGGGGTCTGGGCGGGTTACAAACATTAAGCTCCCACATCCTCAGGACACATCACCCTCCAGGCACATCAATGTGGATCTCCAACCTGAGAAGCTCTCCTGAGCTTTCCTATGTCATTTTTATAAAGCCTCACTACAGACCCTTGATGGCTGAATCACTGATGTCACAAACCCTGTTCTTCTCTGGAGGTTGGACTGACATCACGAAGCTCAAAGCCCCAACTCCACAGCTGGTCATTCCAGCATGGCCAGCCCTTACTTTGGAACTATCTAGGGCCCCACCATGAATATCAAAGACATGCCTGTTACTTGGGAAACCCCCAAGATGAGAAGGTCCTTCCCAGGAACCAAGGAAAAAGGCCAGCTAAACTCTTTAATATACAAGCTGGCCTTACTGAGGATTCTGGCTAGGCTGGCTTACATCCATCCAGGTAAAATCTAATACGGTAATCCACGGGAGACCACCAGATTCTTCTGCTGTTACTTTGTTGCACTGGTTATATCAAAAAAGGGGATAGAAGATGGCAGAATTCAGAACATACTGTCCAGTGTAGTTTTTGGCCTAATAGTATTCTTTGATCACTAGTCGTGTATAACACAGATATTTACTGGGTGCCTACTCTGTGACAGAAACCTAATATGAACACTGCTGAAGAAACAATTTATATGTACAGATTGCTTAACCAAAGACATGTATCTGCATTTAACTAATGTTCCAATCAAATGATCCTTGTCTATTCATTAATGTCTCACAAACTCTTTACTAAAAATATTTCATCATCTATTATGTTACTTTGGGCTACTTCTGTGCTCATAGTGGGGTATGGTAGACAGAAAATGCACTATGGGGTGTGACCGAACTGGGTTTGAAATCCAGTTAATCGTGAGCTAGTAAGTACTTACTCTGGTCCTCAACCTCTGTATCTGCAAAACCGTGAACATAATCACATCATCTTAGAGAGGCTACAAAGTTGATTAAGAGCCTGACTCTCGGAGTAGGCTGCATGACAGCTCTGGTTCTTTCTAGCCATGTAAGGTTAGCAACTGTCCCCTAATCCCAATGGCCACAGATTCCTCATCTGTAAAATGAGGGCAAAACTTGCCCTCATAGAGATGTTGTGAGAATTAAATAATTTATTGAATATTTCACTTATAACAGTGCCTGGCACCTAATAAGCACTTAAATTTTAGTGATTATAGCAATTGCTATTTTTAAATCCCTTATTAATTATATTTATTATATTTCTGTTGTGATCACATAAGATTTATGAATGCTATTATAAAACGTGACACAAAGTATATATTCAAATATTGATTTCCTTTACTATAGCAATTATTGGGTTTCACACTATTCATTAAGAAGAGTACTACATGGACACAAATAAGTGAGATGAGGTTCACCTTCATTTGATGGGAGGTTAAAAAAAAAAAAAAGCAAATGGGAGTATAAACGGTTAGGCTGGCAAACCAATTTTTGAGCAGTGTTAAACTGCCTGAAAGTGGGGGGGTAGGAGGAAGAATTCTTAATAGTCAAAGGTTAAAAAAAAAAAAAAAGTGTGGGCATTAAAGGATGCTTTGAAAAGTTAACATCATAATCTTTTATCAAGAACCTGGAAAGGGGCGCCTGGGTGGCTCAGTGGGTTAAAGCCTCTGCCTTCGGCTCAGGTCATGATCCCAGGGTCCTGGGATCGAGCCCGGCATCTGGCTCTCTGCTCGGCGGGGAGCCTGCTTCCTCCTCTCTCTCTGCCTGCCTCTCTGCCTCCTTGTGATTTCTGTCTGTCAAATGAATAAATAAATCTTTAAAAAAAAAAAAAAAATGGAAAATCGTTTTTAAAGCACAAATCCTTACCATTTTAAGAGTTTAAGAAGGCATAATAAAGTACCAACTAGTATTTCTTTCATTTCAAAATATGGAAACATAAATATAATCACCACTTGGGGAAAAATACCCTCACAGTATTTTAATATATGACAAATGAAAATCAGTCAGAATTCCTTATGCTAAATCTTTAAATTATTATAGGCTCTGTTGTACCCACATATTCACCTACTAGTAAAGTCACCATTGGAACATAATGGAATTTTAAAAATGAGATTAAATATTCCAAGTATATCATACTCACAAAATGTAAGTGATATCACTAAGAAGGCAGAAACTAAGCTGTTTTAAAACCAGAATCACTTATACTGAAAATGAAGATTGAGATGATTTTTTTAATACACTGGAAGCAATTCCAAACCTCACTGCTAAAACATTAAGGGCCAAAAGCTTTATGAGTTTTGACTCAAAACTGCAAACTACCTATTACACAAATTTGCTAAAATCTACTTGTGTTTCTTACATTTACCCTATTTAATCTTCAAGCTGTCAAATTAAATTTTCAGTTTTATGAGAAAAACTATGATAATTTTATTATTTAATTATAATTTAAGACATGAATTATTTTTTCTTTAATTAAAAAATCCAAATCACTAAATCTTTTAGCACTTCTTTGATGGATAGTAACAAGTTTTTCTTGTGATACATACTTACAGGATGCAGGGTGATGATTCCTTGTTAGACGGTCTATATTCCACAGAAAACTTAAATCATGTTTTCTCTAAAGAATACTTTTAAATGATCAGAGAAAAGCCTAAGGTTTGAAGTTTACATAAAGCCTTACTACCAAAAAAGCCTTTACTTCCCTCTTCATAACAAAAGGGAAAGCCTTCACTTCCCTCTTCATAACAAAATTCTAACAAGATATTTTAAAAAATCACAGAATAATTTTTATTTATAATGAAGTTATTCTTCCTAGACTTTAAATCATCTGTTCACTCTTATAACAGAGAATCATTTAAATAATACCACCAAAATGAATGAAGACCAAACAATCTAAATTGATATTACTATATCAATTTCTTTGAAATGTCATAATGATATCCAATTAGTTTTGCATCATGGTCCATTTCCAGTGAAATTCTCAACATAATGCTAAGAATTAGTCCTTCACACTGACATTTTATTCTAAGGTGTGGCAGATGCAGCTCTCTTGACTGCTTCAGAAGTCAAACAGTTAAACAAGTGCTCTGTGAAAGAGGCTGACTTCATAGCTGACCCACCCACAAATGGAGAGCACGCCTTCAGATCCTTTGGTTTTTATAATAATCCCTTTGGAAAATTAAGTATTTGATGATTATTCCCTTAGAATTCTATTTTAAGTAGGATGAATTACTGCCTATACAGTTTGTGCCAACGTCCTTGACTTCCTCATTTCCACTGTTTTGTTTATCAGATCATATAGTGATGGCAGTCTTATTTTATCCATATTTTTGCTGTAAACATTGAGAAATATACCAAGGACAACTAACAAACCAGACCACACGTACCTAAGAAGAGAAAGAAGGAAAAAATATTAGTATCAAGGTAACAATTTATTGTTAACCACAGAACTTGGTGATAAGTTCACAATAATTCTGCAATAAAATAAAATTTTGCTATCGGAGGCCTACAATGGCATTAAAATAAAAAATGGTATTTTTAGATCAGATTAGATAGAATTCCATCTCATTTATGTTAAGTATCTACAGAGAGACTTTACAAAATCCTAAATGTAGATCACCTGAACTTTGAAGATAACAGCAAGTTCAAGTCCACGTCCTAATCAATAGTCTAAGAGTATACTTAAAGCACCTAGTATGTCAATCTGCGATGGCAGTCCAGCGGTTTATCCCAGTTGGGTAGCACATAAGAGATAAAAAGTTGCACATGCTGAGAAAGTAGGGGAACCGACATAGATTGCTGTAATGTATACCTAGCATATAGGGAAAGAGAAACTAATTTATAGAAAACAATACAGACTGAAATTTATCTTCTGGTTATCTTTAAGCTTACACAATGATAATTTCTAGGTTTGAATCTTCTCAATTACTAAGCAGCATAAATTTAAATGATATGATTTCAAACGCATACTAGACAACTGAGAAAATAGTCAACGTTTTATAGGAAGCCATAAACTAAATAAACTTACAGCATAATTCTCTACCTCAAATCCTTTGTGGGAGAGGATGACAAATAACAACTTTAAAAACTATGCGTATATATATATGGTTTCATATGTATGTGTGTATGTATCAGGGCAAAGTGGAATCCTTTAATCTCAAGACATCACTCACATTCATTTATATTGAAAATGGGGTCACAATCACATTGGGACTCTGGTTAGGCAATTTAAGCGTACAATATGATTTCTTCAAAATAATTAAATTTCTGAAATAGCAGAAGACACATCAATAAACTAGGGCTCTAGATGAAACACATTTTTTTTTTTAAGAAATTAAGGCTGCTTAGGAGGAAATATGAAACCAGGTATCTACAAGTAGAGAAACTTGTTGAATTAAAAAGTACTTACTGAAATGTGAATGGTTTAGCAAAAAACATAAATGAAAGTACAATGGTCATGGCTTTTCTTCCTGTTGTCACTGTAGGAAGAAAAAAAGTCTGGTTTAGAATGTGCCTACCATCTTGGTAATATTTTGGAAATTACTTTCAACAAATATTTACAGACCCTACTTTGTACCAGATCTATGCTACATGCCAAGAAAACGATGGAAAGCAAAAACCAAACAGAAAGTCACTGTTGCTGCTGCTATGGTGTTTACAGTCTAAGAAGGGTATAGACATTTAATCATACGGTTAAATGTTAAGAACAACTGTAGTAAGTACTTGATAAAGGCCATGACACTAGGGAGGCAGGTCATCCCTTAAAAACACTCAGTCTGATAGGAAAGACAGGCTTTCCCAAGGAATGTATGATTAGGTAGAGCAGGGGCTAGTCTTTAAAAGTAGTAAGGTGAAGCACACACTAATATCTTAATCATGGTCATTTCTGGGTAACACCATGAATAATCTTTATGGTCCTTTTTACACATCTGTATTAACTTTTACCTTTTAAGTATGACCTTGAAGTCTGCCACCAGGTTTGAAACCCTCCTCCCTGTCCCACCCTTGTAGAGATAGGACCTTGGCAATATGTCTCCATCATGCCTTCTGTCCCACTTTGCATTATGAGTTGCTATCCTCCTCTAGATGCTGAGCTTTACTTAGTTTCTTGAACTCCAAATGAAGAATCGGTTTCGGAAATGTGTCAGAGCCTGATTCCCCAAATCTGTTTTTCCTTCTGTGTTAGTAAAATGGACTCCCTATTACAGGCATACCTTCCGCCTTTTCTGCAGTTAGGTGTTATCATGTGACAAGGTCTGGGCCAAAGAAATAGCAAAGAAATAGTCTGTGCTATTTCTAGGAAGTGTACTTTCTAGGAAAACTCCATAAAGAGAAAGGTGTGTCCATCTTCTCCCATCCTGCTGCCTGGAAAGAGGATGAAGATGGCAGAGAAGACAGAAGAAGCCTGGTTTCCTAATGAGTGTGATGCCACCACACCAGGTCAGGAGGGAGGATAACATGTGGGTTAAGAGCACAGGATGGAGCCAGACTGCCTCGCTTGGAATCCTGATTCTGCAACCTACTAGCTGGTTGACCACTGGGCAAGTCACTTCACCTCCCTGTGCCTCAGTCGACCCTTCATAAAATGGAACAATAACATATGGGATTATTGCGAGATCTAAACGAATACTGCATATACAATGGCTCCTGGTACATAATAACAGATATGCATGCAGCCACTATTACTACAGCTGAATTTCTTCTACATGAGAAATAACCTAAATAAACCTACCTGCACCTTCAAGATAAGGGCGGCATCTCACATTTTTTATACCAATCACAGGGTTTAATCAATGCATATTGACTGACATCAAACCCTTTCTGAACAGTTATCTTATGAGCAAAACTGGAACCCAAGCTAAGTATATGAATTCACAACCTTTCTTGGTAGCATGAGATGACTTGACAGATTGTGGATACGGCCTGATCTACAATTACATGCCCTCTGTTTACCGTTAGCAATGTAAACTTTAAAAAGGAGAGTCATAAAATAAGTAAAAAGGGGAATCCTAGTAAAGTAAAGACAAATGTTATGAAGCAAATAAACTTTTATAGAGAGAGAGGTATTTATTCCTTTGCTTAATTTACGCTGTACTATTAGAATAAGTATTCCCCTAAAACTATGAAATATTAAAATCAGGTAAATGACTAATGCATGTATGCATTATAACGTAAATCCTACGTATCTCTGATAGAAATGGTCAAGTCCAACCCAGTCTCTTCACAAGAGAGAAATGAAGCCCAGAGAAGAGGAGAGATTTATTCTCCAAGTGACGTGTCATTAAACATCACTGACATCTCAATCTAGCGCCCTTCATGACAATGCCACACTGTTCCCAATCCTGGGCTTCACTCCATATGGAAGGGGCTGACAGCATTTGTTATCTGGACCATTCACTGGGCAAATGCTACAAGGTTAGCACACAGAGTCATCTGTCCTCCTAATGGGGCCTCACCTGTAGCCCCTCATTGGTTTTCCTGACTCCTCCAAAGCAAAACCAGTACAACTCCCATTCCCCTAAAGTGCCAAAGTTCCTGCATGAAGCAGGTGCATGATAACTATTAGGGACTAGAAAGGATAATCTGATTAATTCCCTAGAAAGTGTACAAATGAAAGGTCCATCCAAAAAACTTTGTTTAAAATATACCTGCCATACTTTAAGTGCATCAAAATGGGAGTTTTCAGTAGTAAATTAAAAGTGCAGACAAAAGCAGGCTTTTTCTCTGAGGATATTCAGCCCATCATACTTTTTAATAAAAGGTCCTTTTAATGTATTTAAAAGTTACTATTTAGATAAATGTATATATTTGATTTTAAAATCAACCCTTCAAATAAAAAATTATGAGGAAACATCACTGTCTTTAGAATTTTAAAATACCATAAGCCAAAAAATAAATTGATGAAAATATAACAATTTTCTTTTTAATGCAGAGCAGATGCTGCCCGTATCTCTTGAAAAGCAGTATCAGAGAAAATTTAAATGCTTATTTCACAATCTCAGCAGGTGTATCATTCCTACCTGTTACAGCAAGAAGTGCACCGAAAATTTTAATCAGAGCCAGAACAAAGGAGATTCCAAAATACCCAGTGAGAGAAAAAAGGAAAGCATAACCATAAGTCTGAATTGGATTCTGCAACATATAAAAAAGCCTGTTAGGAAAATGCAAAACAAACCCTGAGGTATTACAAATGAAATAAAACTACAGATTTTAATCAACTTCCTGAGCAATAATAAACCATTCAACAATTCAGTCAAGCAAAGATTCTTTAGTTCTGATTTAATGGAAAACAATGATGAAATTAAAAATCCCCAACTTTTACATTATGAATCGCTTAAAAATTAACTTACAGGGTAAAGAAAGGATACAGTAAGTTTAAATACAAGTCATTTCATTTCTGAAATAATTTCTGATCTGCATATATTATATTAAAGGAGTTATCAAATTACATAAAAAATAATCTTTTTGAACAAGAAATACAGAGGGAACTATTTAATGGAAGTTGTTTATTTTTAAAAATGTGATTAGTGTTTACCTTTGAACAAAATGTTACTGCAGGGCCTAATCCACTAGTGCATGTCAATCCCAATAAAATGTACACAAAACCGATTGAATACGAATACAAAACCTATGGTAGATAAAAAAATAAAGTGGAAAAGAAAATGTTATCAAACCAAAGGCAAAAAATGAAGGAGTCACAATATATGGCTCAATTAATCTACTCAATTAAATCTGAAGAACAAACCATTTTTAAATGACATCCTTGTTTCGATATGGCTTAGCTTTCTGGAGATAATGACTGAGCCTGTTTATAAAAGTTTACGGTTTATTTTACATACATTGTAACATAGCAGTACTGATCCTTCCATGAATATATTTATATAATATTCATTTATTTGCCTGGCTTGCTTATGGAATTCAAACCACATCTGAATTTTGGGGTTCCAAAAACACACATAAAACAAAAAAACCTTCAAAGCTACTTATTAAACATCAGAAAACCCAAACATTAAGTTTCTAAAGATATTAACAGATAACGAAACTAAGCAGGGGCCTATCTACTGCTTGATTTCTCAGTTTTCCTACAATCTTTCTAACCCAGCTCCTTAAACTCCTCTTATGCACAATCAGCAGGGGCATCGTCATCATACTTGCACACCTGTGATGAGTCAGGTACTAATAATGCTAATAATAATGTGCTAAACACACTCTACATGAATTATTTCACCTGCTTCTCATAACCAGCCTATGAGTTAGACACTCTTAAATGATCAATCCTCAGTCTGCAGATAAAAGAAACTAAAACTTAGAGATAGTAAGTCATTTTCCCCCGATAAGAGAACTTGTAAAGCTAGGATATAAATGAAGCAATCCTAGCCCAGACTCTAAGCACTTAACCACTGTATCATAGCAACTTTCTAGCTGCTTGTACTTCCCTGATTCTCTGATCTTTAACTTATCTAGGAAGAGTGGTATGAATTTCAAGAAAACTTCTGACCGAGATTAAAGACTCCTTAAAGATGCCCATTCTGCTGACAAAACAAAGTAACAGGAAAGACCATTCCTATATACCCTTCATGTGGTATGCTCTCTGTCTAGCAAGGGGTTGGCTGTGAAATTAAAGTACACATATACATGATAACTTTCCTATATCCAAATACCAACCAGGTAGAAGATGTAAGGAAAGAAAGGGCATTATTTGCAGTAACAACAGCAAAAAGATGAACCCCCTAACAATAACTTCAATAAGAAATATGTCGGATTTATATGAAAAAAATTTAATAAGAATCTAAGGGACATTTAAAAAAAGCCACTTGAATAAAAGCAAAGTCATACCTTATTTTTTTTTTAAAGATTTTATTATTTATTTGACAGAGATCACAAGTAGGCAGAGAGGCAGGCAGAGAGAGAGAGGAGGAGGGGGAAGCAGGCTCCCTGCTAGTAGAGAGCCTGATGTGGGGTTCAATCCCAGGACCCTGAGATCATTACCTAAGCCAAAGGCAGAAGCTTAACCCACTGAGCCACCCAGGCACCCCAATCATACCTTATTCTTGAACTGAAAAAGACTCAAGTGTATAGATGCCATTCTCCCTGACTTAACTTATAGTTCAATGCCATACTAACCACAATTAACAATGGGGTTTTCTAGTTTATTTGGGGGATCTGAACACCCAAGAATAACTAATGGTAGTAATATTCTAAAAAACAAAAGGAATACTCCTGGCTAGTCCTAGCAGATGGTAAATGTATGATAAAACTGCTGTCATCATATGGTTTTGGTGCAGAAGTAAATTCAAAAGAATACTACTCTGAATCCTACAGTAGAGTATTATATGATAAAGAAGGCACTTTTGCTGGAAAAGTGGATTTTTCAATAAATGATACTGGGGCAAGTAGATAAAGAAGAAAGTTTTTTAAAGTTCTGGTTGGATCAAAGATTTATTTAGGGAAGCTTGGGTGGCTCAGTTGGTTAAACGTCCAATTCTTGATTTTGGTGAGGTCAGTCTCAGATTACAACACTGAGTCCCATGTCAGGTGCTGAGCTGGGAGTGGAGCCTGCTTAAAATTCTCTCTCCCTTTCTCCATATGCCACCCCCTCATCTCTCTCTCTCTCTTTAAAACAAAAAAACAAAAACAAACAAACAAAAATTTAATTAAAAAGGCAATCATAACAGGAGTAGACAACATGGGTAAAATCCTTAAATCTTCAAAGTTGGGAAAGCCCTTTTCAATCATAATAGGTCAGAACCCATGAAGAAAAAGGTAAACCACATCAAAATTACAAACTTCGAAATGGAAAACAATACCAAATACAAAGAGAGAAAAGTGATGAAGAAAGCAAATTTTTAATATGTAAAAAATATCCTACAAATGAAAAAAATTATCAAATATTATACAATAAGCTCTTAGCAGGGGTAGTGGTACCTTTACCTTTTAGTTTTCATGATGTTTGAATGTATTACTTTTACGAAAATGATGATGACAAACTAGTTTTAAAATGCCATACAAGCCCTTAATACCATAACTATTTCATCAGGTTAAGCACATCACCACTTTTGCTTCTATCTGCTCTGAAGAAAAAACGCTGGGGTACTTACCATTTCTGAATTAGAAGCATTATGCAGTTTCATAGCTTTCTCTTGAACATTTCCGATGACAGCATCTGCGCACAGTGCCAGGGAAATAAGGATCACACCTTTAAGAAAGCATAAGAGAAACACAACCTCTTTATTTAAACAGGCGAACGACGATCAAGATTTATCAGAGATTTAATTGGGTTAAAAAAACAAAAGCAGATCTTAAATCACCCTGTTTCAGTAGAAGTTGATGATTTTTATCCACAACAGCTGTAATGGGCACAGATATGATGATGTTAAAAACACAAGTAACCGACACTAATAAACTACCTTCAGGCTTATTTTGTTTCCCTATTAGATCAAATAATAGTTCTGCTTTTAAATAGGATGGAATGTTTGAAAGGAATACTATATTAAACAACTATAGAAGAAATTCTTGGGAGCACTACCAGAACTAGCAGTTAGTCGGTTAATTGAATATACCAGACGAGGAGGGAAATCATAAAAAGTGTTACCTACATTATTAAAATCATTTCATTTAGAACTCAAAAACATGCACACAGTTGCCAAGGTCTCTTCTCCGAGTACAGGTCCTAACTAAAATTCTGCACGTTCTCCTCTGTATAAACCACACTTGCAACACACACTGTTAATGCTTTCCTAGTTGTTTTTGTTAAAAAGCACAGGGAAACGTAGGAACTTCTCAAACAGTTGGGTGAAAGTGAAAGAATTCTTTCACACTTGTATGATTTTTTTTACAGTTGTTTCCTAGTGATTTTATTGACGAGTCAACCAAACTGTTTCAATTAACTTAACAAAAACTATTCTGTCTCTCTTCAAATTGTTTTTGAACAATTTAAGTAATATTATCACATAGTTATTGGAATAGGTACAACTGGCATAAACAAAGCTGGAAATCAACAACTCATGCAAATGAGGTCTACCTGAGAAGCAGGCTGTTAACGGCCAGTGTGTGGGACCCTGGTCACCAGCCATGGTGCTTTACAGAAAGAACAAAAGGCAGCGTTGGTTACCTCAGGGAGTCTGATGGGATTTAAGGAAGTTTTCCCTTTTGCATTATTTTTTAACAATGTATAAGCAATTACAGGGAGCAGAAAAATATATGTGTGTGCACTTAATTGAGAACTTTCAAGTCTTCATACTTATTTCACACCAATTTGCCTTTTGATCATCTCACTTTGTGGCATTTATTACCAAATCATACATTTTTTATCCACCAAAGTTAATTTTGAATGCTCTTTTCCTTATTTCAAATACCAAATTTGTCGAAGCAAAAAGACAAGCTGCTGTTGAAGACCCTGAATACGATATCCTAGCTCCTAACAGGCTATTCGAAGGCATTCCAAAAATGTTCTGAGCAATGACAATGGTGTGAAAATACCTGAATTGCACCCTGAGGGGAATATTTAAAGGCAGACATTTATCTGAATAAGTAAATTCTGATATATTCACTTTATACATTCAAAGTTTTATTTATGTCTACCTTAAGTAACCATCTTAATAGTTAATCCAATCTCCTTTAGATAATATATTGTCAGACTAGTGGCTGTGATAAGTGCTCATCAGTTATTCCTAATGATGAAATATTATTAAGTTCCAATTCTCTTACCAAGTATTTCCTGGGGAGTCAGAATGGGTTGGCACTACATCACCATGAGAAGTTGCAGGACTACTGTCACTACCTCATTCCGTCATTGTCCCCCATGTGCAGCAAGTGTATACACTTTCCTATCCATTATTTCATCACCTCAGTCAACCCTCCCACTGGCCTTGTATGAGGCAAGCTATCATCATAAGCTCTGTTTTAAAAGGGAAGCATAAAGGGGTCTGACAATCTACCCATGGTTATAATTTTAAGTGACCTGAACAGAACTGGAAGCCATGTCTCTGACTGCAAATTTTGTGCCTTCTCTAAAACTGATTTTCCATAAAAAAGAGTCAATTACCTCAGATTTCATATACAGTCTCCCTCTTCGTATTGCTGACATGAAGTGTTCCTGAAAAATCTAAGCCATGTCAGACACATCTATCACTATAAGCTTTCCAGAGTAAAACTCATCAACGTAGTGATCACTTGTATTCCGAACAATCAAAACTGAAAGAGATGTAATAGGTTCCACCAGAATCTTCTGGTTGTCAAAAGGGTTGCTCCAAGGGGCTGTACTGGTTACATTTAAATCCATTAACCTAGCCTGGTTAACAAAGTTAATAAAGAAGGTTGACTCATAGCCAAATTTTGATTCTTGGAAAGAACAACAAAGCTGATGTAAATGATTTTCTTCTTTATGTAATACTTTCCTTCTCATGAATAATTAGAATTTTTTCCCATTTTTCAGGGTTTCTCTGAACACCTTTTTATTTTTTTTCCCCCTGCTGAGGATCTACTGGTATAAATGCAACCATATAAAAGCATAAGTTATGAAAAACAGTCACGATGTGACCTTCCCAGCCCAGACCCCTAAAACTCCGAGATGGAAGCGAGGAAGGGAAAGCCCAAAACTGCCTTAGAAGGCTGTAGCCCCGGGCCCATGCAGGCCTGGCCTGGCTGGGATGGGAGAAACCGGGTGCCACCAACAGTTAGGGGAAAGCTCACAGAGCTTGCCCATGAAGTCCATGTCAATGGTGAAGTCCAGGTCATGATTATTCTTGGCACTGGGCCGCAGGCCAGTGGTGCCACAGCTCTCCTCACCAGTCTTCACTGTCATGTAGTCTTCCATGTAGAACACTGCTCCACCATACGTACAGGGACTCGGGACTGGTGAAGCCTGCCCTCTTGCAGCAGCAAGGGACTTGATGTTGAAGTAAGCCACAGGTCATTCCACTTCACTTGCAGGCAGAAGCTCTGGAGAGGTGAGAGTCAGGTCTTCTATCTTGATAGTGTAGATGCCCACTCCTTTACGAGGTAGGCCTTGGTGACCAGCTGCATGGGGTGCACCACATCTACCAAGGGCTCCTTGAAGGACACATCTTTAATACAAGACATGTCAGAGCCATATACATTCTCCCACCAGTGGCTCTTGTCATCTTTGTACTGCCTGTCTTCAATGGCTGTTACATTAGAGTTAGTGTTAGAGTGGCTTGGTATGGGAATATTAGGCCACCAGGTGCCTGTCACTTATCTGGGGCCCAGAGCACCACACTGAACACTGATCCGTAGAAGAAGCAATAGCTCATCCACTCACTGATAATGATGTCCACCTTCTCCACCAAAGTGCTTCCTCTGCCTTCCTCTTGATGGCAGTCATCATGTGGTCCAACTTGGTTTTGACAATCTTCACCTCATGGTCAGAGATACTGGAACCCTTATTCCCAATGACCTTATGGGCGCTAGCCTTGGGAGCAAACATAGAGGATCCCTGTGCCTGAGCCCACATCCAAAACCACCTTGTCCTTAAAGAGCTGCCAGTTCTGAAATGGAGTTTTGGTATGTGAGGCTGTGCACCTCATCTTTCAACATCTCTTCCTGAAGGCCGAAGTGAGCACAGGAATCAAAGTAGTAATCTCTGGACGTCATCGTCATGTCTTCAGCAATGGGCTTCTTGCTGCTTTCTCCCTGGTTACAGGAGACCTCCATGATGCAGTTTGCTACCTTGGGTGCCGCCATCTTCATCCATACTTACTCCTCCTCTTGCCCAAAGAGGCCCCTTCCAATACCTAAGTATTTTAAATACTGTTTCTGTCAGGCTAGTAGACGGGATGATAATAAGCTTATGAATAAAACTCAGTAGTGTAAGTATGATAATATTGTATACATAATAATTTCTCTTCAAGGTCTTTAGAATAAAAACAATATTATAACACGTTTATGCTTATTTAGTTCTAAATATACTATAATACCTATTCTGCCTGTGAAGAACCTAAATTTTATTTACAAAGGTCTACCTGGCATACTGTAAGGTAACTTCATGGTGGAAAGTTCAGGCACTTTAAGGTTCTAACCACACTTAGAGCACACAGTTCAGTATTAACATATAGCATAACTTTCCCTCTTCAGCTAAAACAATGACAAATAAATGTACAATTTCAATTTAAAAAAAAAGAGAATAAAAAGTTACTGATGTGATTTGTCTATAACTCATGTGTAAACTTCCAACTCCGCCCATGAGAAATTTCTCTACCACGCACCCAATCGTAGAAGATTTTGACTGGCCAAACATCCTCCTGTAAGGTCAAAATACAAGAGCACTAAAAATAACTCTTACATTTCCAGGACCATAATATTTTTACTGTATCTTATATGGAAAGTCTGAAAGCTTTATGTTAGATATGAAAATCACAGATGTCACACCATCATTTGAAATTCTTATGAAATTGCAAAAGTTCTTACTCTTAAGCCAAAATACCTGCAAAATCCAGGAGCACAAATAATTTCCTTACCTGTCAGGTTGAAATTAGGTGCAATCGTGCTGTCAGCTAGGGTGAACCAGATCAGGCCAAGACTCATACATACTGCAGCAGACACATCTGCAATGTTATAGCGCTTCCCTGTGTAAAATAAATGAAAGCCAAGCTCATTTTACGCACATGCCCACTTGGCTCAGTTTTAGACTATGTGCCTAACCAAGTTGAGCAGGATCTGCTCTTTATATCCAAAGTCAAAAATGTATGAAGAACGCTTAGATCAACGCCTGAGACAGTCACAGAAGAAGGGCTTCTGAGAATTAATGACCAGTGAGCACCAACATGTCCTTGTAATTCAGATAAGAGATCCTACTTTACATGTTATGATAGTGAGTAAATAGAATATTTAGAGTTTGTGGACACGAGTGCCTCCTTTACTTCATATATAATAGAAGCTATTAATTTTCTTATAGTTTACACATTTGCAAAGTAACCAGAGCAATTATTCAGGTTATATAACTGTTTAAGTTTACAACTACCATAATCAGATAACTTCTAGGTTGGTGAGAATTAACCTGTTATAGTATATCCACATTTCAATAAAATCATGTACTATAACTTTTTCATAAGGATCGCTAAGGAAATATTATACATGCATGTGGTTTTTAATGGGAATTGGTGTCAATACTTTTTCCTGCATGAACATTTACCCTAAAATTATATATGAAGTAGCCAACAGACATACTTTCATTACAGAGGGCCTCTGTGGAAAGACATCAAATGTAAAAAATGAAGTTGGGCTGTATAAGAACTTCAGTGATACAGGGGCCCTTGATTACCAATCTAAGTATTTCTCATGACAGTGACATGAATAACAAAAACTTGTTCCACTTGCTATTACAATTTCTTCTTTACTCCTTTTTCCACATAGCTTGTAACTTAGTTGGGGATCTAGGAAGCCAATAAGCCAGCAGAGTTGGTAAAAAAGCAGTTCTGCTCAGGTTAAGCTTACTTCATAGTGAGAATTGCCCATTTGTATAATGGAGGGAGAAGGAGGAGCCCTGAGGAGCAGAAGAATGAAAGAACTGAAAAATGAAGTTTTCCAGGTATTTCTGAGCTATGCCTTCAATACATGAACACAGTATTTCTGGAAACGTAGTAGATTCCAGATTAAAAGAAAAAAAATAATAAAACACTATTTTTATGTTTCTTGAGTCCGAATTACTGATTTCTAATACTAGGAGATATCACAGAAATATCAGTGCTTTTATAATACCTTATTTTTATAAGATGTCACTCAGAACTGTTCTAGTATTGAGAATGTTTATTGAAACTATTAACTAGAGTTTAATGTTTTTCCTAATGCTAGATGCCATAACATATCCTATTATTTCAAACAGTATGAAAATATATCATTACTATACCTTGAATAAAAACTCCTCCTAGCATAACAGGAATCAATTTGCAGCACTTGAAGATGACTTGGGTAGGATAATTCAGGTAGCCCAAGGAAGTATTTGATAACCCCATAGTACCCACAGTTAGAAAAGCTATTATCATGTAGGTTTTTCCTGGTATTCTGTAAAAGACAATTTTTAAAATCTTCATTTTGGGACCCAATTCATACTACTGTAAGATAATGTGTTTACAATGTGTAAATGTCTAATTTCTGTTGAATATTTCTAACAATATTGGTGAAATAGCACTATTTTAAAAGTTATCACACTTATATAAAAGAATGTTGGTAAAAACAACAATTTACCCTTATTTAATCAATCACAAGTGAGAACTTTCTATTGTGTGAAAAAAATTGTGTATCAGAGTTACATATATTCTTCAAGATGGCATAAAAAAAATGTTGGTAAGAAGTTTTTTTTTTTTAACAGCCGTTCTACCATATATATATATATATATATATATAAAAACTATCTTGACTAAATTTAGGAAAAAAGAGTTGAGTTTTAAACAATATTGACCCTCATAACAGTAAAAGGCACCTTAACTAATTTCAACTTCTAAATTGTTGTTCTGTTTCCTAGTGTTCCCATCTAGCATTAGGAAAAATACATTCAGCCCTTCTGCTAAAATAACCTGAGCAGAATATCTCCAGATATTCTGGAGTGGCAGCTTAAAACTCTAAACACAGTTTTTATTACCACGATGTCAACTTTAACTCTGTATTCCACAAGATGTTACAATAATCAACTTCAAGATGGAGAACCTGATTCTCTCCTCATGATCCCAAATCACTACTTTGGGTTCTATTTGAATTTCCCAAAGGGGTTTTTAATTTGGCATCTTCAGAATTTTGCACTATTATTGCGAGCATATGCTCACTTTGACTAGATATTTAATGGTCTAAAATAATCTTGTACACTGGTGTGACTAATACATGAAGTACTATTCACATAATCAGATTATGCTGCATACTTGGAAGTAGCTTCCACTTTGGGATTTGTGTTCACATTTAAATCAAGACAACAAAATTCCTTCTTATTTTTTATTTGGCTAGATATAAGGCAAAATAATTTACTGGAAAATTCAATTAAAATGTATCTTTTCCACTTATATTTCAATTTCGAGGCCTTTCCTACTTAACTACTAATACACTAGTCAACATTTAAAATAACCTGGCATGCACATATGCATCAGTGTTATGCAAACGAGGATTTCTACGCCCGTCTGCGGGCTTAATCTTCAGTGAGGTATCATCAGGGAAGAACAGCACTGCTCCTCCAATAATGACAGAAGTCACAGTGGTCCAATTTCCTCAGACATAAATTGCACACAGTGGCCAGAAAATAAATTTTTTTTTTCCGCCTCAAGTCAGAAAAAATCACAAGGAATGGTGATTACAGAAGTTAACAACCACAGGTAGAAAGAAAAGGGACCTAAAATTCAGGAGGCCTATATTCAGAGGGTCCAAACTCTGACAGCAACCTGCTGTAGAGATGCATGAAAACCCCAGTCCTCCTCACGGTATGTTCATCCACTGGTGAGACCAGGACATTAGATTCATCATCTTCCTCTTGAGTGCCACGTGGCTGTTTTATTTAATATCCCAATTTCTTACTTCTTTAGGCAGGGGGGTGGACTGTGACTTTCAACGGCCCCTTCGCAACCAATTTGACAGATCTCCTTTATTAAAACCTCATGCAAAGTAATAATAAAGTTACAAGGTAACTTTGGTGAAAAATAACAAGTCATGTATTTAGGGTGTTAAAGCTTACAATGCGCTCCCCGCACATTACCACATTTGATCCTCAAATGTCAGCGAATTTAAGCAACTCCCTCGAGGTCTAAAGAGAGTTAATTAGAGGCCATGCCAAGACTCAAATACATGTTTTCTGACTTCCAATCCTTTACTCTTTCAAGTATATAGTATTCATATAAACATAGGAAAAAAGAAAGAAAAAAAGAGAAAACTAAGCAGAGTTTGGCTACTTAAAGGTCTAAAGAGCAGGGCCACTTAAATTCAGAAATATGTCATTTAGCATATTTTGATTGTAACATACCTTTAAAGGCTTTTTCTAAAAATATTTTTTTAATGTGCTGTGGAAATGAAAAAGTTTCAATTCATAATTATATTTATTATATGTCTATAAATTCTTCTATTCTCCTTCATTTATGTTTAAATCAACACAAATTATTTTATCTTTAAACATGTTATAGTAAAAAAAAAAATGTTATGGTTATTTGGTTTAAGGGTTGGGATAAACATGGCTGGAAACTCACTCCCTATTTCATTTGGGTAGATGAGAGGGAGGTGTATCTTTCTTTTTTGTAAAGTAGGCTCCATGCCCAGTGTGGAACCCAATGTGGGGTTTGAACTCAGGGCCCTGAGATCAAGACCTGAGCCGAGATTAAGAGTAGGACGCTTAACTGACTTAGCCACCAAGGCACCCCAGAGAGGTGTATCTTTTTTTTTTTTTTTTTAAGATTTTATTTATTTATTTATTTGACAGACAGAGATCACAAGTAGGCAGAGAGGCAGGCAGAGAGAGAGAAGGAAGCAGGCTCCCCGCGGAGCAGAGAGCCCGATGCGGGGGCTCCATCCCGGGGGCTCCATCCCAGGACCCTGGGATCATGACCTGAGCCGAAAGCAGAGGCTTTAACCCACTGAGCCACCCAGGTGCCCCGAGGTGTATCCTTTTTAAAGGAGATATATCTTTGTGTCGCTTTCCATTTTATAAAGATAGCATTAGATTCTTTTACTTTGGAAACAGATGTCCAGCAGTTTGCAATTGGTAATGAATCATCATGCTTTCTTATACATTAGTCTTGACAGATATATTTAATTATTCTATCACCTATATGGCCGAGTACCGCAGCTTCAGAGCATGAAAATAATTTAGACGCTAACCTCAGATTCAAACATTTTTTTTTACTATCACTGCTAGAATAATTTATTGGCAATAAAGAGAGATTGAGAGGCAAAATTAGAACTATGAAGGAATACTATTATGACAGACTTAAATATTTAAAATTTTATAGTTACCTTCAGACGGATACCAAAAACATTTTTGTAAGAAAAATAGTAGCTGTGAGTATTTTTTTATTTTTACTGAAAGACTAAACATTTCTATCATTGAAGACAGGCTATCAGTATTATAGTTCCTTGCTGCATTTAAACTGCTCAGTGTCTACATGAAATATTCACATCTTAGAGCCTGGTATGACAGGATAACCACAGTGACATTTACTAAGAAGGTACGTTCAACTTCCTAACCTCCTCCTGTTCATAATCAGGTTTTTATTGCATATTGTTCTGTGTACCATTAAAAGTATTTCGAGATATTTCTCAAATCTAGATGGTTAATGCAAAATGTTATGTCAACAAACTCCTTTGGCTCTGATGAAAAGGCATGCTTCTCTGATGTCTAAACATGCAATCTCAGTGACTGCACACTATAAAGAACACAATGTTAAACAGAATATATCCCACAAAATATTAATCGTGCATTTTAAAAACCACTATAAAAGTGGCATTGATCGTTCATTTCACCACTTTGATCTTTCTTAGCACTGTAAATCTTTCAGTAATTACACCCATTTCAGTTAAATTTATAAAAACACATATGTACATCTGAAAACTTTGTTTCAAGAAGATACATTTATCATAATTTGATCCTAAACCACATTTTTCTGATAACATTACACTAAAAGAGAGACCACTTTCTTCACTGTACAACTGAACTATATTTAATATTTTTTGTAAGTTGATTATACTGATAAAAATTACTGGGTATTAGATATGTCTTAACTGCAAATGCATATATTTCATGTATAAGATACTCCATATTCCCAAACAAAACAAAGAATTTAACTACTACTAATGAACTGTCAAAAAAAATAAAAACAAACCACATACCTTCTCCTTTTGTCCTGAATAAGCTGAAGTTCTATTAGGCCAAATATGGAGTAAAATGCAAACTGTACTAAAGTAAGGTACCAGCCGTAGGACTTAAAACCCTCCATTGAAAATATTAATTCCTATCAAAAGATACATGAGTACTGTTAAATTCTGGGACAGATCAATTTCCTCACAATAAATTCCTATAAACACAACATTTTAAAAAGAACCCAAAGCTTACCCCCAACAACAAAAAATAAAAAGCAAAAATACACCCAAATTTCAAGGCTTCTCAGAGGTAAAATCTGAGAAGTTCAGGAGGCCATTCCGAAGAACTGATGTTAGATATTCAGATAAGAAAAGCAAAGGGAGGGAGGGATAACCATGAAGAAATGTTATTCCAGGCTTTTCTTTAACAACAACAACAACAACAACAACAACAACAACAACAACAAAAGGTTGCCAAAATTAAGAATTGCCCCAACAGTGAGAAAGATAGTTGGTTCAAAGACTCATTTACTGTATAACAAATATATTTCATTAGAAGTCTATTATCTCAGGCTTGTTTTTCTATAGGAATTTAATCAGTTCAAACTAATAATGTGATTTTTTGGAATATTTGTGCCAGAGATTATATAAAATTTTCTACATGTAAAGGAAATGGCTACTTTGTCAAACATAATATTATATTATGAAGTAACATTTACATTAATTATTAATATCCCATTAACAAGTCAGTAAGAGGTATTCCAATACTTGGCTTAATCGATATTTTCTTTAAACTATTTTAATATGCTATTATACGTAATAGTAGCAGTGTTAGTTTTCACAAAGTAAAAGCAATGTTTATTTAACTTTAAAAGCTTTGCATTGTTATAAATTAAAATATAACAATTTATCAAACAGAAAAAGATTATTAAAATTTGTAAATTTCTAATTCATATTCCTTTTGGCAATGGCTAACTCTGTTCCCAAATTATTTAACAATGGCATTTAAAAAAAAATGTTTCTCAACAAAAAATTAAAACCTGTGTTTGATAAAATTTACTATTTTTCATTGTTCTTCATTGTGATATCTGAATTTTTGTATCATCCGCCAGTGGGGAAATTAGTTTTTATAAATATTAAGATTTTTAATTCAAGTTTTTGTTTTACACTAATACTCCTTTTAGAATTTTTACAATCTAAGGAATAGTCAATTCTACCATTTTCTTTCTTTATACTTCCTTTTATATTTCATCTCTATAGGACAATGGAAAAGAGTACAATAATTTTTAAGATCATTCTAACTGATTAATACTAAACAATACCAGAAATATTAACTGCTTCAACAAAACACATCTATTTCCATTTCTTGAATTACAAAGTTTTCTTACATTAGAAAGCTGCCTAAAAAAGCAAAGTTGTTAATGGCTGAAAATACTAATGAACTGACCATTAAGAAAAGTAGTCCCCAGACATTCTGTTTACATTAGCCTGGCTCTTCACCCGGCCGCCCATGTCCCTGAAGGTCAAGAATTTGCATAATACAAACAGAAGACAATTTGTAGCAATGTCAGAAGTGTTTTGCACCAACAAAAATAAGGTTCTGACAAAATTAGATTTGAAGAGGAAGGCAAAAAGAATGAGAACACAACAGGTACTTCATAAAAAAAGCAATACAGATAGTACAGGATTAAAAAGAAACTTCTGGAAAAAGTATAAAGCATCCTTTTATATAAATATAGTATAAATATAAGTATACGTTTGCAAAAATTACCTTTTATTATTGAGCTCCAAGAATCAACAACGGACTAAATTATGGCTTTTGCACTATCATTCAATTTTATTGGAGAATTATGTTCCAAAATACCACTAATACTTGAATCACTCTCATTGCAATCATCACCTACATTTTGTTAACGTATTTCAAATTTTTTCACAATTTTAGTTTTTTTAAGTTTGTCTCTGCTCCCTTCCCCCCATCTGAAATATTTAACTGTGAAATTTTGATATCTGCTAAAAGTAGCAGACTAACTTTTTTTACACTAAAAAACTCAAAAATGTGAATAAAGTTGTATCTTATAAAGAAAACTATCTTGGACAAAACTATTAGTAATGACCATATTGACCTCAATTGTTATAAATAGCATCTTGTAAATAAGTAACTATTTTTTACCTGTAAATATCCATAAATTAGGTAAAATACAAAAACTCCAGCAACACATATGAAAAACTGAGTAAGTTTGTTAAATCTGCTGAGATTTATGCCAAGTACTACAATGTCATCTATTGACTTGATGTGTGGTGACATTGTCTGTGTTTTGCGAGGGACAGTGATAGAAATATATTTCCTGGAGTTGTTGAACTTGAGATCCATTGTTCTTGTTTTGCTGCATTCAGTGCTTCTAAAATTATCTTTATTTGTTTCCTCTCCTTTGTTCAGTGTTTCTTTTGCTTGCTGAGGTAAGTCCTAAAGAAGGAAATAAGCAATCAAAGCAAAAACATTTGGATCATAAGATATTATGCTCCAAATATTTCACATCACCCTTTAAGAATTATACAGGTAAATCTCATTCTTTCTGGATATTAATATATTAATTCCTCTATACAAGCTTCCAAGCAACCAAAAACAATGTCTACTCTCCAATTTATCTTCTCTAATAAAGACCAATACATCACTAAATATATGCCATTCTCATTTCCACAGCAAAAATCAAAAGCTAACTTGGAGTTTACTTCATCAAATAAGTAAATATGCTTTTATTATGGTTTTTGTATGTATTAAGGATATCATTTGTAATTATCTATCCATGATAGTTTATGAGTGACATCTTCAACATTAATGTCAGTCTTTGCAGAAATGAGCTGATGCTCCTTTAAATACTAAGTCAACTGTAAAATGTATTTGTTAATGATGTTTTAAAATAAACTCGAAGAACTTAAGTTATTTAGAAAAGCTAGATTTATCAGACAACAGAAAGAAAAATATGCTTTAGCAACAGCCTTTCTTAGGTTGAAAGTAAAAGTTTTCTTCCTTTCGAGACAATCATTTTAATTTAAAAAGTCTTTGGGGAGTTGTTGTTCAATGAATATCAAATTATAGTTCTATAAGATGAGTAAGTTCTAGAGACCTACTATATCACATAGTGTCTACAGTTAAAAACACAGTGGTGTGCACTTAAAAATCTGTTAAGAGGACAGATACCACGGTAAACTTTCTTAACCACACATACACACAAAGGGGAAAACATGGAAGCTTATGGAGGTGACAAATGTGTATTACCTTGATCGTTATGGTGATGGTATCACAGGTATACCTACATGTGTCCAAACTCATTAAATTGTGTATGTTAAACATGCAAATTTTTTTTTGTGTGTGTGTAACAATTATACCTCAATATAGCTGTTTTATAAATAAGAAATAAAGGAACCTCTGGAATTATAAAAGGCTGGAAAACATCATTTTTTGTTAGCCTGTGGAAAAAAAAAAACAGCAACAACATGAGGGTCCCATAGATGACTGTCCATTTCACTTTGGATTTATATACACCAAAGAATGAGTTCCATGTGGAGGTTGAAGACAGAGTGAAGAATTATGACAAAGAACAACCTGAGGATGAAAAAATTATCTTCCTAGAAAAGACCTACTATCTGTTACAATCCCAATGGGAACTAAAATTTAGAATAGCTGAGGAAAGAGGATAGATAAGGATAATTCTGACAGATCTAGAAATCTTTTTAAAAGAAACTGTCATGATGGTTTAAAATGGTAAGAATTAGAATCACTTCTTCACGATCACTTCTCCTTTGCTGTTTACAGAGATTAAGCAAGCTATCTGCAGTAATTTAAACTAGGATCGAGGTTCTGAATACAACTTGTAACTAACTCAGGCATCAAAGAACATTTATTTTACAGGGCACGTGCCAAATTTCTAAATAGAAAAAGCATAATTTTAACAAGTTTTATTCTATTTCTTTTCTTTTACCTTTTTCTTCTTCTTTATATATTGCTCTTCCTTCCCACACTGTTTCAATCAGACATCTCTGAGTTAAGACTTTTTAAGTCATCTTGCAGGATACCCTTCAGATTTGACTTTCCTCATAAACCATGCTTTACATGATCTTGAACGGAGAAGAAACAAAAACCTGAGTAACTACTTTCCATGTGTGTAGGCATGGATACAGAGTACCATTCAAATAAGTCTCCCCCTTCCACCCCCATCAGTCAAGCCCTAAACTGCCCACAATGAACTATTAATACATTCCTGAAAATACATTCCTGAAAAATACCATGAACTTTCAAATACCCTTGCCTTACGTTCATGATGTTCTTTCAGCCCAATGTCTTCTTTCAGGATTTGAAATAAGCTTATTGTTTCTTCCTCTGTGATACCCTCCCTCAATCCCTGAGCTGGGGGGAAGAGCACTGGAAAGGCAAGACTCCAATCTTACTTGTCTCTGCATCCTTGGTATCTGGCATACTCTGCACATAGACACACATACTCTGCACAAATACTATGATGAACCAAATAAACTGTCCCTTCCCGTGCATGTCCTCAAAACTCCACCCTGCAATCACATGCTGTCTATCCAAACATGACTTTTCAAATTGGTGCTGGCAAACTTTGTGAGCAAAACTAAAAATCGTATAGAAAACAGAGAGGTTGGGGGAAATGTGCAAATGTTTATATATTTACACAGAGAGAATAAATAAAACTTCTAGAAGACCTCTTTCTTACTTTTATTAGTATCAAAAATTTATCCCCCACCCCCACTTCTGCTGCAGGTGTTTGTAACTTAGCAAAATGGCTGGCATACTGTAATGATCCAATAAAATTACAGCTACCATAATGAGAAGTCTTTCCCCAGGGTTTGGATTTTGACAGATCTGAGTTCAAGACCCAGTTTTGATACTGATAGCTGAAAAGCCTTGCGGAAGTTACTTAACCCTTCTGAACTTTAGGTTGTACATCTTTAAAAGGGGGGTAAAAAAAATGTGCCTATGGTAGAATTTTTGTCAGGATTAAATGAAATAAATGTAAAAGTGCCTAGAATATAGTAAGACAGACCACAAATGTTGGATGCCATTCAATTTTTTAGAACTATTGCTAGTGTGATATGGTCTGCTGACACAGATTCATCACCCTTTTGATGTGCAGCTGGAAATATGAATCCGGATTTCCAACCCAGACTTCTCTTCTGGGATCCAGATCTCCATTTCCAAATGCTTCTTTGAAAGCATTTCTACTCATGAGTTCCACTGGCAACTTATTTTAAAAGTGTCCAGGGCTGAACTCATTATGTTCCTCCAAACAAACCTGCTCTTCCTATAGTCCCAATGTCACTTACTGGTATTATGCAAAAAATCTGGAACTTTAATTAGACTCTTTTCTTTTCCTCACATTCTATATTTTGCCAACATTCCTGTTGACTCGACATCCATAAATGTACCAAGAATCTGTTTCTGACCCTACCATTAGCAGCTGTTTTCTCTTGCGTAGATTACTAGATTAGCCTGTTTATAATCTCTTCTTCCCTTTCTGATCCCTCTTTCACACTTAACATGAATGCTCATTATGCCTCACTTCTGATTAAAGTCCTACAAATCACAAGCTGGTTGATTCTCTGGACTCTCATAGCACTTTATAAAGATTTTTACAAATACCTAGATCATAATGGCCTAACTTTTTGTTTTTGGGTCTGCTTCTCTCACAAATTTATGACATCTTTTAAGGGAAGAGACAAGACCATCTTCATAATATTTTCGCACATAGCAGAAGTGTAAGATATGAAATGAAGGACTCTATTGCACTTTAGTAAGCACCATTCAGTCAGTAGTATCCTGCTCCTTTCCGACAATTTGCTGCTTTTAACACACCTATTGGCAATCTTAGGAGTCGCAGATCTGTGCCAGACATGTAGAGTTAAATCCCTTCAGCACTGTCACTTCTTGGATATCTGTGCCAAAATATTGACATCTCCACTGAAATTTCCCACAAAGCATCTGAAATGAACATGGAAATAAATTCACTTCCTTTGCTTACTTGAGGTACCAGCACCAGAAAATCTGCCCTACAAGGCCTTGCATTTAGAATGCACTTTTATTAATCAGAACATCACTGGTCAGTTCACGTGACAGATGAAGATGCTGTGAACTTTGATACCTGGTAACCATGATCCTTAAAGCTTGCCACATGCCTTCCATTTCACTAACGATAGATATTAATCAACAACTAAAGAAACTAGGCCAATGCCCTTTTGGTGCAGGAAAACTAAAATCAAGCATAAAAACTACTTTCAAATTAAATGAGCAACATTTTGCTTTGGTTTAGAAATTCACAGTAACCCCATGAACTAAGAACAAAAAACTCACAGATGTGAATCACTGGATGAGGCCTCTTCCTAAAGTCAACACAGATATTTAATGTTACTTGGGGGTACAAAATAACTGCTAAAGAGGAATAAAAAGGCAGCAATTTCGAGAGCATATTGATATTTAAAAATTATAAATAACTGGTGGTAACACTGATTTACAATGACCTACTTAAGTCAAAATTATTTCAGTTAATGTCTTAATCTAGTTTTTTCCAATCTTCAGAAGAAAAGTCTCCCACTACAAAAGGGTAGAATATGAGGAAATCATATCATCACAACGTAAATAACCAGAACAAACTTGATTCTGTATTTTGTCACACTTAATGTTACAAATAAAATAACTTTGCCACTATATAAAAATTAAGTGAACTCTAAATATTGTGACCTATGGGTCGTGATTATAAAACAGTGAAAAACAAGACTCGGTCTCATTTCTTTGTACACACTTCATTACACAAAGTTCAAGAAACAGTGCGCTCCTTCTTGATGGTTACTCTATTTTTTTCAAGGGATAAATCTAAATTTAGGAGTTGATATATATTAAGAAATTAAGTACAAATTAAGTACAAACACTTATGTAAATTATTTTCCAAATGCTGCTGTATCTCTCTCTTCCAAGTTCCAAACTATCCCAATTCACTTAGGAAAGCGTTACTCCAAAAACCAATTCTCAACATCTGAGGTCCTACCATAGAAGAAGCCCATATACCCAACACTAAAAAACCCTCCGTGAGCACACCAAAGCATTCCACCTTCTTTCAGTATTTCTTGGGAAAAAAAAAAAAAAAAAAAAAAAAAAAATAGGTTGGGGAGAAAATTAAGCTCCAAAGACTGGAGAATCTGCATAACTTCCAGTGGAAATTTATCTCCTAAGCTTAATCTGGCAAGAACAATCACCTAGCACTACAAATTAAATGTTCAGCAGAGGAACCTGAACCCTATCTAACAGAGAACCCGGAAGTAGCTCTCAACTAAGATGCAGTCCTGGGAACCCAGGCGACAGACAGTCCTCCGGAGGCCCCTTATTATAAGCCTAAAAGGCCCTCCTGGAAGTGACCTCAGAGTACACAGACGGGGACATCAGAGAGTTCTAGCCAGCCACAGAGCGGAAAGGGGGCGAGGAGGAGGACATACTCCTCCCTAGAAACCCAGCCAGTAGGTTTCCGTTCTTTAAAAAAGAAGTCACCGATGCCTTCCATCCCGACCCTTCACGCCCGTTATTGATGAAGATAAACTATGTCCAGATTATCTGGGGGGGGGGGGGGGGGTGGGGCTCAAACACGGCGAAGGGCCGGGGGGCACACATCTACTCCAGAGTCGGTATGTCACCTGAAAGGGTGACCCCAGCCCGAGTGGCGCCAGCCAGACGGAGCGCTCCCCCTCCCCAAGTCCGTCGCCATCACCTCCTGATTCTCCTCTCCGCCTACTGCCGCACTTTCCACAGCGGTCGCCGCCTCCTCGCAAGGTGCTCGCATCCCCGGCACCGCGCGCGCCACTTCCGCCTACGTGTCTCCTTGCGCGAGCGCACTTGCGCGGCCCCGCCCCCTCGCCGGCCAGGGGCCGTCCGGCGGCGGGGGCGCGGTTACGTCTCGCGCATGCTCTCTCCTCTCCCAAACGCGGGAAGAGCGCAAAGTGAGCTTGAAGGTGCGAGGGATGCGCTTCTGCATCCTCTGAAAATGGCGTAGGAGCCGCGAACGTCGATCGCGTGGGGAGTTGTCAACCTCCAATCGGTGTTCGCTCGTTGCTGGTGTCTGAGCCTCTGCAGCTTTCCGGGTTGCTGCGGCCTGGTCCTCCCCGGGCCCTGCCACCCGGTGGGCCACCACGCAGGAGACCATGCAATGGCCCTGCGCTGACTTGGAGAAGGAAGTCTAGTGGAGAATGTTGAATCTGGATTTAGAAACCCTTGGCTTCCCTCTTCCCTTTTCTTGATCCAGATGAGTTGATATGGCCCCTCTACCTGTCTCTGGTTTTATGCTCTTGCCTGACTTGCGCCTGCTTTCTGGTGAAGGTGGACTGAAGGCGCACTTGGGTTGCTTCTGACGTTGTGATTCACCTCGTAGCTACAGCAACCCCAGGCCTTGCAACGTGACGAATGTTGCCAGCATTGTTTCGACAATTCCACTTACTGTACCAAATGTAAAGCCCATAGCTTTACCAGCTATCAAAACTGGAAACATTTATCATGCATTGAAGGCTGCATCTACAATCACTGGGATGTATTGAGATAAACACCACGATAGCTGTGATATTTTTAGGTAACAATAAAATGACATCGAAGGCAAAGATTACTGCAAGGAAGCTGGGACATTTTTGAGTGCCTGATTTAGATAGCCAGAAAGCGATGGACTGGATTAATATATATGTTAGAATCCAGTCAGTTACGTGTAGCTTTTAAAATGTCACAGGACTTATACAGGAAGGGCAGCACTTGTATTTTGTATTGGATATGAGAGTTTATATAAAAGAGTAGCAGATAATGTTTATTATAAGTGGTGAGTCTGGCTTGGCTTTTTTATTTAATCCTTACTAATTATTTAACACCAGTGTTACCAGCATTTTATAAGTGGTTAAATTAAGACTTAGAGAATTTGAATTTCCTAAAGAAACAGTAAATGACAAAGCCTTTAATGATGCCATACTGTTACCCGAATAATGTGGATTTAAAAGCATTTAGGCAACATTTATTGAGCTCCTATTAAGTGGGCATATGCATGGGTCATATACATAATCCATAAATTACAAGTATGGGCTCCATGCCCTTAAGGAGTTGTGGATATGCAAGAAAAGGTAAACGTCAGTATAAAACAACTTAGGGTACCAGAGTCATAAGGAACCATCTACTCTTATCTGGACAGTTCTGGTGGCCTTCTGATAGGTCTTTCTATCTTCCTTTTATTTCTCCGCTCCCAATTTCTATTTAGCAGCCAGAATGATTCTTTTAGAACTTGTGGCAGAATATATCCTTCCCCTGCTCAGAACACTTTAATGGCTTACTGTTTTACTCTGATTAAAGTTCAAAACCCTTACTATGGCTTCTAAGAAAGAACTTGATCTGAAAGGCTCCAGCTTCCTATGGCTACACTTCAGAGCCCATCTACCCCTCTCCAAGAACACCAACGTCTGCGCTCTGGACTTACCGTTCCATCTGCACGGAACACTACTCTCTCAGATATCCACAGGTTGTGCTGCTTCACTTTCTGCAGGTCTCTGCTCAAAGGTAACTTGATCAGGCAGTTTTTCCTGACTACCAAGTAGGAGGGCTAACTCCTCTACACCCAGACACCGTCCTCACCCTGCATTTCTTGTCTTCATAACAGTTATGATAGATTCCCATATATTTGATGTTTGTGCCTCCCCCACGTATTTTTCCCCTACTCAAACGTTTGTTTTATGAGGCCAGAGATTTTTGTCTCATTCACAGCTGTAGTACCATCATCTAGAACAAAGTGTTTCGTACACAGTCGGCACCTGGTAAATATTTGGTAAATGAATGACTAAGATGAAATGCCAAATGAGTGTTAGGACAGTAATATGGGAATCCAGAAAAAGTAAAATATTGGCTGTCATGGTTTATGAAAGCTTCCTCTAAGAGGCAAAACCTAAATGATGAGGATTCCATTGGGTTTGGAATGAGAGAAAGAGGGGGAAGAAAGGCAGTCCAAAGAGAGTCAACCAATATAAACAGAGACATTAGACAAGGCAGTAATCAGAGCTACAGTAATGCTAATATGCTGATCTCCAAAAGCGAAACTAAAACAGGAAAACTGCTAATAGCTGATCTGTGAAAATTCAACTTTGCCTCACTGAGGGCTAATTTACTCTTTCCCCTCTTAGTAACAAATCCCATTCTTCCTAGATTTTATCTTTCAACTAGTGTCAAGTCCAAACTGACTGGAAATATATTTAGAGAATAGATGGAATTTGTTTTAAGCCATGAAAAAGAAAATAATGAAAATAATATAGAATTTAATGTTTAAATTAAGCATGAGGTTACACATATGAAGATTTCTCATGTTCCTGAAAGACAAATAAAATAATAAAACAGTAAAAAATCAGTTGTAAAAGGGAAAGGATCTTTATGAATTCAGAGTAATTTTTTTAAAGACTTTATTTACTTATTTGACAAAAGAGAGAGTACAAGCAGGGGAAGAAGCAGGGAGAGGGAGAAGCAAGCTCCGCTGAGCAAAGAGCCCAATGTGGGGCTTGATCCTAGAATCTTGGGGATCATGACTTGAGCCTAAGGCAGATGCTCAACTGAGCCACTCAGGTGCCCACAGAGTAATTTTTGTATTAATTCAAATAAGCTGTACTTTAACCTATTATAAGTATATATTTTTATTGTAAAGGTCAATATTAAAGGCTGAATTGTGTTTTCCCCCCAAATTCATATGTGGACATCTTAGCCCTTAGTACCTCAGGGTGCAATTGTATTTGAAGACAGGATCTTTCAAGGTGTAACTAAAGGAGAATGAGGTGGTGAGGGTGGGCCGTAATCCAATCTGACAGGCATCATCAAAAAAAAAAAAATTTAAAAAAGAGGGAACTGGGAATTCAGATATATCTGCATCCAAGGAGCTGGCTGGAAGTCTCAGACTTTTTTTCCTAGGGCAAACTGGGGTTTGCACATCATCTACCTGGATGTCTCTCTATGAGACACTCCAAGAAAGAACAGTAATCATTTAACAGAAAGCAGAAAAGAGGAGAAAATGGTGAGGTGTAGCAGTTGTCAAAAAAAAAAAAAAAAAAGAGAGAGAGAGAGAGAGAGAATTTGGAAACCGACATGTACAGAAGGAAGGCCATGTGGAGATAACCATGGAGAGGGGCCTCAGAAGACACCAACCGTACCATCACCTTGATCTCAGACTTCTAGCTCCAGAACTGTGAGGAAATAAATTTCTGTGGCTTCAGCCACCAGTCTGTGGGATTTTGTTATGGCAACCCTAGCAAAGCAATATAATCAGTGCCATATTTTTACATGTCCAATGTGAGGTATATGTAACAGACTACCTGAGTAGAACTTACTACAGAGTAGGTGTTTATAGATACTGACTCCATTACATCACTGTGAGACCCCAGGGGGAAACTAAAGTTTGTGTAGCTATGAACTGATTATCAACCCTTAAGAAATTCATAGTCCTGTTGCATCAAAAGCCCTGACTCATATTCGGACTTGGTTGTGGGGACAGTTCCATGAAAACTTGTCACTTTTCCCTGACTGCTTCCTTTCTCTACAATTCTCTGCTTTTTAACCTGAGGCTCCTCTGACTTTGCTGACTCCAATGGCAACACTAACCCTCTCAGCTCACACCTTGCACACCTTTGAAGTGTTGGTGAGTTAACACTCCAGGGCCAGCTTTCAAACAATGGGTGACAGTATCCAATGGACAAAGGCTCCTGCCTCTTATCTTTTAGCAAGGCAGTTCTGTGAGGCCATTCCTTGTGCTTCTCACGAGGTCCTGGGGGAATTGTGTTGCTCACAGCAGCAATTTCAATACCCATTCTTGTATTATCTTGTATACAATTCTCTTTATCCCCTCATGGCTTCTCAGTAGGATGACATTCCAAATGACCTGGTCACACACAAGTACCTTAGATTATGCTTTTGAGGGAAATCAGCCTAAGAAAGTTGACATAGGAAGAAAGTGTGAAATGCAGCCCCTCAGGTGTCCGGGTCACTCACTAGTCAGATGGCAACAGGAATATTCCTGGTGTGCTGGGGTATCACAATTACTCAGGCTCTTCTTACCTGTGCTGCATAGAAGATGAACAAGAAACACTGTCCTGCATGGTAACTCTAACCCTCGAATGGGAGCAGACAATGACACTTTAGAAGGATAGCAGAATTTGCTGGCTTTTTTATTTTTTTTTAACTTTCATGATCAGCCAACTATCGACTTAAGGCTCTCATGAGAGGTAGGAAATCTTCCTATCAGCATCTAAAGAGATCTTCAACTCTTGCATCCACAGGGTAGAATGTCAAAATCCCTGTTCAAGATTTAATTATAAGGGTGGCAGAGCTGATTGGTAAGTGAATGTATATCCTTGGCAGATCTCTGATTTTAGAGTCAGGGCCTTGATAGGGGAGGAGAAGGATCTAGGAAGGGGAAAATTGTGTGGGTGATCTTAGGAAACTTACACTTTGAAATTCCCTTGAGCCCTTTGGGCTGGTAGAAATACCCCCTTCCCCTTGCGCAGAGAGTCCCACTCCCACTCTCACCTGAAGACAATGAAAAGACCTCATCAGAGACAGTTGCTTGACAAGGTCATGCTTATCTTCAAGATCTCCTCCAACCTCCCCTCATTGTCTCCAGACTAAAAATTAAGATGAGCTCTTGGTATAGCCTGAGTGGGGAAGTGCAGTCCCTTCTCTTGGAGGAAATAGTTGTGTCATCCAAAGAATCACTAGATCTAGCTGATAAGAACTGGCAGCTACTGGGAGGACACAGGCCAGAATCCTGGAGTGGATATTGCAGGTTTTGGACTGGGGGG